CCTATAATCTTAATATTTGTTCACAGACGTATCTAGTCTATAAAATTTAACAAAATGAATTCACAGGTACACTAGATGTGTACCTGTGAATTCATTTTGTTAAAGAACAATGGCAGAAACATATTTACCTAAAACTTAAGCGTTTAAAAAATCGAGTCACAGTAAACTTAATCAATTTTTTTTCTATGATTTATCATTACACCACCATGTATTGTATAAGTCTTATAAGAGATAAGATATTTTTGAAGATTTTATTTGACCTAAGTACGTAATGTCAGATTCGCCATCACGTATAACTGACTAGGGATGCGTGGTGGCAATATTATATTATGGAACAATTTATCGATAATCGATTCTTATAGCTTTGGCTGAAATATTTACCGAAGGTTCACTATTATGATTATGAATTTGCTTCTGCCCACGTCTTCACTCGTACGGTAGAGTGACTGAATCAACATGATTAGAAATGATTTAAAATATTTTTGACTCTCTTTAAACGATTTTAAACACGCTAAAGAAATAGAATACAGTTACGTTATTTTCCACTACACAGTGTGATGAGAAAAAAAAAATTGTCATTGATAACGGCACATAAATAGACATACATCGATATTTTCAAAATGTCGATACGTCGTCGTTTTGTACATATCTTTTAATCTGTGGTTTAGATCCTGTCAAGTTCCGGACTCACCACGTTTGTTATTTTATTTTTGTTTAATTTAGTGTTAAACTCGAATAGATGTTATGCTTTTATTTTTTTTATTTCATATACTGTAATAATAATGAAAATAATATTTTCGGCTATCTGACACACAACGCCATCTAGTTTCAAACAAAACATTAACAGTATGTTAGTACTTAACCTCGAAACATTCAAAATCCAATATCTTTTTTCCTAGACTTCTTTCGCAAGTAATTTTGATATGAGAATGGTCAAGAATAAATTCTCAAGTGTTAAGGATTTTTTGATATTTAAACGCTAACATTTCAGTTCAAATAAAATTATGTATGGGGACCTGCCATTGTCCTTTGTTGTAATTTAATCAAATTAACGTCTAGATGTACACTATTAGAAATGATGTTATTATATGATATATGTCAAAATAAATACGACTGTATTTCGTTAAATAATAAATTATGCTAAAGGATTTCTAATTCAACCAACCAACCCATCGAATAATTTTTACTGCTGTTTGTCGAACAAATTTATCTCAAGTTGAATTGGTGAAATTTCTATTTATTTTATTTAATCCTAACTTACAAGTGTTTTAATGCATAATATTATTGGTGAAGTACTCACTTGAATAACTCAAGTATAAATCATTTTGAATGAATTGTAAATCATTTCATGGACCATCATCTTAATTGTTAATTTAATATTTTCTTCCAAGATAAAAAACAAATGCTGGCATATTACAGACTTCCTGATAGCTGTAATAATAATTTTGTCTCTATTGATATTTTTAGTAACAGGTTTGCAATATTTAAAAAAGAAATAATGCAATTACTACCCACTTAAATCCTTTAACTCAGGGCACGTTAGTACAAGTTAATGTTACTGCTATTTGGTAAACTTAGTTTATGATATCTATCTCAACTGAAGTATTACATCTTGTATTTTAAAAGTATTCCGTGGTTAACGGTGTTGGTACTACATATAATAACTTGTGTGAATTTTGTATTTATTTATAATGTTGCTGTAGTTACTGTTTGTTAACTTAAGAAATAAAATAAACAAATTTTATTATTTGATATAAGTTAAATAAATTTTAAATTATAAAAATAAAATTAAAAAAAGAATAGGACTTCTTCATACATCTTTACAATAATTTTTGTAGTCTTACACAGACTACATATTACTGTAAAAATATCAGAATATTATACATTTATATAATTACATATTTTGATTGATGCAGCTGTTTTACCAAAAAATAGCTGACCCCATATTATCGTGCTTAAATATCATAAAAAAGGTAGTTAAATTAAATCATTAATACAATTTGTATCTAAATATTTAAATTTACTTTGAGAATCACTGGTTGGAAATAATCGGCCGTAGTTATGAACTAACCTAGAGTTGTTTTGTAATTAATATAAGAGTACCCACAGTCTGATCGAATATAATTGATTTTCCTCAGGAGCTTAATATATATTATAATTATTTTATTTTTTTCTAATCTGAATTACACTTTATGTCATCGTAGTGAGAATCGCTGTTTATTTAAATAATGGAAAACACGGAGCGTATAATTGAAAATAAACTAACATGTGGACATGTTAGTTTATTTTCAATTATACGTTCCGTGTTTTGCTTAGTGGATCAACTTTAATTAAATAGTACAGGCATTAAAATTTATATCTATTTTAGTAACAAATATATTGTTTTAGTATTTATGTTGATGTTAGTGTATTAACAGAATACATTATATGTTACAGTTCAGAAGTTTCATTAAGTAACATTATTTAAATGAACAGCGATTGTCGCTACCATAACATAAAGTCCAATTCAGATTAGAAAATATTTAAAAAAACTGCATAGTTTTAATCACTTAAAATTTTCCTCTCTTTCTATCGGACTTTTCATCTTTTCTGACAATGTGAATTTATTTACCTCTTGATGTGCTCTGGAAGTGTGAAAAACATAAGACTTCAATCTTTATTATTATTTAAGCAGCCAAAAACGATGCTAAATGTTTTTAAGATAGTTTACAGTGCAATATGTGATTGGTGCTGTTGGTGAATGTAAATATTTACAAATATTAAATCTATTCAAATCGATATTTTATTAGATAGATAGATAGAAAACTCTTTATTTGTACACTGTTTTACAAAATATTATAGTACATAGAATTGTCAGACATGTAATGTATAGGCGGGAGGGGAGAGGAGGCCTTATTGTTACGAGCAATCTCTTTCAGGCAACCTTAGGATGAAACAAAATGTTTCAGGGAGTAGTAGTTGAAGGTGCAATGAGTTTTAAATGCTAATTGCAGGTTAAATGCTAATGAAGGTAAAAGAGGTATAATTATAAAAAAATATACATGTAACACATATTTATACATACCAACAAATATATATACATATATAGCTATAGGGGAGAAGTGGCCAGGTTTTAAAAGAGCTACTTACATTATTTTGGTAGTTTATGAACGGACTAGGTTGGTATTTTTATTTCATTATGGTATTTGTATTATATTATCCTTCGTTTAGTAAACTGGCTCTTTCATGCCACTTCTTCTCTACCTATTTAAAATATTTCACAATAAAAATAAATAAATAAAAATAAATAATTCACATTATGTCTTAATACGTTACACATTATTTATGTATTGTACACACATACATATATTCATACATTCACGCCTTTACAGGACAAATTTTAATGATCATGCTCATCACACAATACATACCTACATGTGTAGTGAGCAAGTCGATTTGATAATCGAGCCCATGACCTCTGCCTTAAGAGTTAGAATTACTATCCACTAAAGTAACAAACCCGTCCTATTTGTATTTAATGTTAAGTAATTTCTAAAACTACTGATCCAATAAATCTTAGTAGGACCTAACGCAGAAGAGCCCCGGGAATAACATGATTTTCCTTTACAGTAAAAACACATAGTATCAAATAATCTAGTTTAGGTTCATCAATCTTGATTTTATCCCCTAAAAGCCACTAACATCTCACACAATAGCACCAAAGCTGAGTGCCTTTTGTTTGCCTTATCTGAGAGCGTAACAATGTTATGTTCAGTACATAAATAGAATGAGGCTTCAATTAATTTCCATAATTAATATCTGGTGGATAAAATTGGGTTACACATACAAACTAAAATAAGAATTATTTCTAGATGTCATTTGATGGTTGATGTGAAGTTATTCAAATTTTTTTTTGTGGAAAAGCCATGCTTCGTATCTACAAGTAAAGGGTTACGAACTTTATAGAATTAGGCAGGTTATGGGCTATCGGACCCCATAACCCAAAAGATCTTACTCAATCGGTGTAGTAATTTCATAACATTGGTTTTCGGTGAGATCTCCCACAGCTTCCGTGTGGTAACGGATTAAGAATACAGAGTGTCACCAACCCTATTCATCCCGTCCGGCCGCATATGGAATACTGTTCTCATCTCTATGCAGGGGCACCTCAGTACCAGCTTCTCCCTCTGGACCGCATCCCAGGAAGAGCCCAAACATCTCCGAACGACTCGATCCCTTGTTACGTAGAGATGTGGCTTCACTCTGCATTCTTTATCGCATATATCAAGGAGAGTGCTCCGAGAAATTGTTTAGACGAATACCAGCCGCAACTTTCCGCCATCGTTCCATACGGGAAAATTTTGATCCTCATCAGGTGGCTAGTTGGCGCTCCACTACTGTGTGAATTTGGAGACACTTTTTTCCCCGCACAACCAATCTGTGGAACGGGTTACCTTCTGCGGTATTTCCGGACCGATACGACCTTCAAACCTTCAAGAAAAGAGCGCACTCCTTCCTAAAAGGCCGGCAACGCGTTTTTGTCTCCTGAGTTGCAGACGTTCATGGGCGGCGATGGTCACTTTCCATCAGGTGACCCGTATGCAAATGCTGCCCACTCTAACATAAAAAATATATATTCAATTTTAGTTACATGACAAACTTAGAAAAACAGCTTCATATCTACCTGCATTTGATGTATTGAGGCCTTTATGTCAATTGCATACAACTTATCGTTCTCCAGTTTAAATTTTTATTTAAAAAACTAAATTAATTTGAAGACAAATAAAATATGAATCACTCTTTTCAAACTTTGTACTCATATACTGCATCATAATTTATAAGTCTCACTTAACCGGGTGATTTTCCTTCAATTCTCCTTCCTTCCTTTGTTGCCAGCTCAATCAATAGCAAAAGTTTCAAGAAAGGTCTTTGAGCAAGGAACTGTATCAACTGCCTTTTTAGGAGAAAAAAACTAATTTAGCTACACAATGAAGTTAATTCTGGATGTTACTTGTTGACAGGAGAACCAATGCATGAGGATCAAGATACTCGGGGACTGTTACTACTGCGTGTCAGGGTTGCCAGTGTCGAGGCCCAACCATGCGTATAACTGCGTCAATATGGGCTTGCAGATGATTGACGCTATACGGTAATATTTATTTTAAAATATAAAGTGCGTTACCCACGACGAAGACACTAGAATCTATACAAATAAATAAAATTTAAGTGTCTGTTTGTAATGTCAAAATAATAGTTTTTTTTTGTCTGTCTGTCTGTTTGTTCTGGGTAATCTTCTAAACGGCTGGACCAATTTTGATAATATTTTACTACCAGGTAGCTGTCTATATAAGAAGTAACTTAGGCTATTTTTCCTTTCAGAAAAACCCTATAAAAATCTATAAAAATTTGCCCGGTTCGGTAATCGAACCCATTAAGGCAGCGCTTTTCAAATTCTACGCGAACGAAGTCGCGGTAACCAGCTAGTATTATAACATTTTCAACTGAACATACAATAATCATTCACCATATAATTCAGAACACACAGCTTATCTTTTAATGCTATGGTTTACATTATTTTCGTTCATGGATTTCTATTAGTTCAACTAAATACGAAATTATTGTACTTCAAGTTTTAAAACACAATGTCATTGAAATTGGATTAAAAATATACGCACACAAAGCATTCAAAGTAATAACCATAAAACCGTCATTGTTTGCCATGCTTTTGTATATGAATTAAGCTGTTATAATCTTTTTTTTATATTTTATGTGGTGACGAATTAAGAATACAGTGTTACCACCCCTATTCATACCAAGGGTGTCGTAAGAGCCCACTAAGGGAACAAACTACGCTGGACAACAGCAGCGTTTGGCCAGTGTGGTAAACGTGGTATAGTAGGCCTTTCTAAGGAGAGGTCTATGTCTAGCAATGGGCTAATAAAAATAAATAATGATTATTGATAAATCTTTCTTTATCAGGTTCGTCCGTGAAGCCACGGGTTTCAATGTGGATATGCGTATCGGAATTCACACAGGAAATGTTCTATGTGGCGTACTTGGTCTACGCAAATGGCAGTTCGACGTTTGGAGCGATGACGTCACACTGGCTAACCATATGGAATCTGGTGGAATCGCTGGGTAAGTTATATTTGTAAACTCTACAATAAAACAAGTTTTTTACGGTATAGAAGAGCAAACGAGCAGGCAGGTCCCTTGCTTACCATCACTTACCAGTGACAACTGCCGCCCATGAACACCTACAACTCAAGAGCTACACTGCCCCCTTTATCTCCCCTCCCTCTCGATACTTAAAACCGGTTTCATGTGAGGCACTGCCACCACTCCGGGCAAGCCGGCCCATTTGTGCCGAAATATCTATACTGCAAACAAGCAAAATCTTTTTATCATTGTTTGTAAATTATTTTTTTAATTTTCGTCAATACTCTTCCTTTGACGTTTAACGTTAAATTCGTATGAAATTTCTTAATGCTACATATATTAATATTAACGTTCGTATTTTTTTATTTTAAAAGTGAACTTTGACTTCATGTGCTAGCTATAATAGTAATAATAAAAATGTATTTATTGTTTACACGTAAAAGTTTATAAACATATTTTTTTATTTGTTATATTACAAATAATGCACTGCTGAAACTTAAAAAGGAAACCCTGTGCTATATAATGAAGTATTTATTTAATATACTTCATACATATTAGTTCCATTTATTGGTTAAAAGGTGATTTTGTTTTTATTTCACGGTCTTTGATAACTTTTTTTGTGACACAAGCAGTGGGTAGAACCGTTTTTCAAATTATTTATTACTTTTTTGTGTCTCGTAAAACTTTAAAAATCGTTTCACTTATAATTAATTTCAGGCTTTTACTGCAAGCTTTTATTCCACACTGGTTCTCATATAGTGCAGGCTGTGTAAAAGCCCGTTAATTGTGTTTATATCTTTTGTTTGGCTTTCACCCTGTAACAATTTAAAATAAACTTTTAAAGCGATTGAGATCTTTTGAACAATTTTATCATGTTTTTTAGTAAAATATTTTGTACACGTATCTTTTGATAAAATTTAAATACAAATTGATAATTTAATCTAGATATGTGCAAACATTTTTAATCTGTCATCTTATGACGGGCCTAGAGGATAAGTGGTATCTTAATCATCGTACTGGCTCAGGGAGGGCAGCCACAAACACCCTCCTACCCCTAAAAGGGCCTCAACTGGTCTTTACGCCCTAAATCATAAGAAAATAATACTTATAGGTTATATGAATTTTACAGAAATAATTCAGATATTTAATAGAGATTTTACAGAAATAGTTCAGTTTGAAAGAAGTCATTTTGTCTGAATGGAAATAATATTAGGGGTTAAAGTATGAAATTGCCAATTTCTACAGAAAAATTGAAACTCGTTTTATTTTCTCTCATTTATTTTTTGCTGCCATCTAAACGGAAGTTCATTTATGCCTTTACGATAGAACTCTAGGGATCTAGTTTGACAAATTGTGTGAAAGAGTTGTGCACTGCCTCCTGGGAAGAATTTTTTTATCACATAGAAAATTGTTCAAGTCACAAAATAAATGGGAGTCCGTTCGAGTAAGGTCTGGCGAGTACGGAGGATGACGTGTGATCCTTCAGTTCGGTACCGATTCAACAAGGCAACACAAGTTTCAACACGCATTTCTTTCTACAGATCAGTGCAATCATGAGGCATCCATTTTTCATATTTTTTTTATCTTATTGATTTGATGCAAATTAATTAATATTGTAGGTAGAGTAACGTTAAACCATGCCGCTAATCCCTAGGTTTGACTCGGATCGCCTTTCACCATCTCCTTCAATTCAGCGTTATTCAACTGTGTGGTGGTCTTCCACGTGGTTTGTTCTTCAAGTCGAAGTTTCTATTACGAAAGCGTTTAAACCAAAAGCGCACGGTGCGTTCGTTAGTATTCCCTTCTGCGAGGCGTTTCTGCCGTGTTAGTTCCATGTCGGAATTGGTATTCAAAAATGACTCGGATTTTCGAAGTATCCATCTTTCACGTCTAAACTGAATAAAAAATAACAATTGAAAGGCAAAAATCTAATTTTGCATATTTTAAAAAGAAGAACCTCATAGGTATCATGTAAAAAAAGTTTAACACGAAAATCTCACACCACGAAGTTTTTATGTCAATTCAAAGTATCTATTACTATATAACGGCAATTTCATACTTTTACCCCTTTTTTTTCTGTGCGGAACTCCCCTCGAATACCACCCACCAGTGATTATGTCTTGCTCGAACTGACCGTAAACTGCACGACATCTCTAGGTGCCAGTAGCTGGGGAACCAGGTATACTCTAGAAAGGAAAGCCCTGGTACTGCAACGTACCTCGGGCCATCTACGGCTTATAGTTCCCTTCCTGCCCCCGAAGGGCGTGCGCGCTCCGTAGCGCGTCGCACCGCCACCCAACCTAGCACCAGATTCTGCTAGATTGACAGATGACCTCACCTGTCACCCTCAGGCTTGCGCTTATGGAGGACGGAGGTCGTCCTGCGAGCTACGGTGCCTCAGTCGTCAGCGGTACCTGGCCCGTTCTCGGACCTAGCGGGCCCGTAGAGATGTAACCTTCTCCCGGTCCCGCTGCGACATGTCTTTCGCAAGCATAACCTGCTTGAAGAAATAACTCCGTACCATTGCCGCCACAATCATGTTACTGAGCGAGAGAATACCCACTCCGACGGCCGCCACGAGGCCCCGCCTTTGCTCCACCCACTCCGGACTCCTTGACCCAGGTGTTGGCTCCTTGCGGATCAGATACAGGTGATCTCCGAAGCATCCTGTCCTGATGATCACCTGCGGCAGCTGATATGAGAGGGTTCCGTGATTGCCGTCAATCCTCCATAACGGGTCTTACCGCCGCGATAACGGCGGGCCCGGCGCTCGGTTGCCCAAGTCGTTCCTTCCACTCGTCCACGAGGACCTGGCAGAGCTGGGATTACTGATCCTCGATTTCTCGAGACTCAGAACTCCGCCCCAACTCCCGCGGCTCCTTGCGCCACTGACACAGAGCCGAAGGCTTATTTCAGTATCTGTATGCCTCAACTCTGCATCTGCCGTATTGATGTGAAACGAATTGATACTGCGTTGTTTAAAATATACATGAAAATAGTAGATTTTCGGTAAGAGATTAAAAAAAACACAAAAACACGCCTCTGTTTTTGAACACTGTTTTTTTTGCGTCACACATAAACATATAAATTAGTTACATCATATAGTTATACCAATTAAAATCGATCCTCTGGTTGTACAATTTTGACCGTAGGTAAATGAATTCGGTATATGTAATTTTATTTATTTGTTGTGTTTGTTTAACTGACATCAAAGATTATGTATATACTAGTCATGTGGAGCTAGACGCTATGTGATTTTAAAATATTATACCTTATATTGCTAATAGTTTTAATATAAGAAAATAGCTTTAATATAAGTTTATATTTTCAGAGTATGTCCGCAAAATTTTCTATAAAATAAGTGTAAAAGAATTAATATATAAATTAAAGGAATCACTATTATAACACTTATCTTTCTAACCAAAGAGTGAACAAAAAAAATATTCCAAAAGATTTAAAAGCACTGACGAAGGCCAGGATTTATTTAACTTGAAAAAATAACGCTTTGTTCAAATTCTGAAGCTGTACGAATTCTATGGATAATCTTATCATTTTCAGTCGAGTTCACATTACAAAAGCCACGTTACTCCAACTGGGCGGAAGATTTGAAGTGGAGCCGGGAGATGGAGCTTCTAGGGAAGGTTATCTAGCGGACCACAAGGTCGAAACTTACCTCATCATACCACCAAAGGTAAGTGATAAAATATTATTTGTAGACATATTAGTTCGTTATATGAGACTGGCTGGCTTGTGCAATTCATCTGCGCGATTCTCAAACGGAATTAATTTGCCCCATTTTTGTCAAATTTTTGAATTATGTTCGGCTCCAGCGTAATATTATATAGCCTTCCTCAATTAATGGGTTATCCAATACTAAAGTTATTTTTCAATTTAAACCAGCAGTTCCTGAGCACGTGATCAACCAAACAAACAAACTCTTTAGCTTTCATATTATAACATACATAATATTTTCACACTGATCCTTAACTAGGCAGACCCTGTACTATGGTAACCAGACTGCTGATAATCATACTTACATATTTCTGAATACATACATTTTATAGATGAATTACACCCAGACAGAGAACAAATGACCGTGCTCATCACACAATATTTGTACTTGGTGGGAATTGAACATACTACCTCCGCCTTTGCAGTAAGGGTCACTAACCACTGGACCAACAGAGCCGTCATATTAGTATAGATGACAAAGGTATCTATACTAGAGACTACTACAAATAAACACTCATGCCTGTATCTATAACTTAGTCCTGCTAACGTATTAGGGGTAAGCATATTTCCGTGAATCCTGCCTGAGAAAATTACGAGAAAAAAGAAAGAAATGCAATTAAAGAAAAAACATATTGCTTTAACCTTAATATACTTGGGAAGTTTAAGATCAAAATGGCCAAGATAGCACATCTGTAACACGAATTAGCTTTTTTCTACCTGCCGGATATTTAAGCTTATTTTTACCTCAAAGTAACTGGTACAGAGGTCGAATAAAATCGTAAAATTAACAAGCAAAGTACAGTACTGTAATATTAATAAGAAAGACAAGGTAACCGTGACTTTAAAAGGGAATTGAGCAATTTTCTTTTCTTCATACTAAAAGCCTTGCGGCCTTCGCAAATAAATCATAAATTTGTGTTTTTTTTTTCGTCTTTATATATGTATGAAGGTTAGTGTATTTTTAAGCTCTTAATCATAAACTCCTCTAAATTTAAATAGAAGATAAACTATACATTTCCTATAGAAATTTTAAACTTCGGTAGTGTCCTATTTTATTTATACTATTTAATTTTATGAGATGTCATTAACAAGGTAAATCTGAGACCATTTATTTTTATTGCTTGGAAACGGGTCATCATTCTTGCTGGTGATAACGGTGAAGCGGTATTAGGAATCAAACCAACTAAATAGAGAATAGTGAATCTCTTGCCCGGAGCTCGATCATACCCAAGGAGTACCTTAATCGCCAAGAACCTACAGAGACTGACCACCTCTTACTAAATATGAAGCTATATCAATGCTTGCATCTTGAGAGGCCTTTTATTTCTCACATCAGAAAAATTCGAGTCTTCGTCGTTCCTGAATAACAACACTGTTTATTTACATAAGACAAAACAGGTTTTTCTTTCAATTAAGGTGCGTAAAACATTTCTCTGCTGATTGAAAAGTGTGTTTGAATAATACACTTACAGATCAGGAGGTGTAAGTTATATTTTGAACAATAAGAATGAGAAATAGTCAAACATAACTAAGCACTCATAAACAAATAGCAGTAGGGTTTTAAAATCAATTTAGGTAAAAGCATGATTTCCTTTCATAGATATATCTGGAACTTTTGAAAGTTTTATAATAATAATACCCTCACACATCTCACACACGGCTGTTTGATCCCAAATTAGGCAGAGCCTGTACTATGGTAACCAGACTGTTGATAAACACACTTATATATTTCTAAATACATACATATTATAGATAAATTACACCCAGACACAGACCAAATGATCGTGCTCATCACACAAATATTTGTCCTGGGTGGGAATCGAACCCACGACCTCTGGCTTAGCAGTCAGAGTCACTAACCACTAGACGAACAGGCCCGTCGATTGAAATCTGCAGTTTATTATTAGCTACGAATATGTCGTGTTTTAAGCCTATAAACACTTAGTCATAAAGGTCTAATAACGGCAAACAAAAGTTCGTAATAATGCTTTCGTACCATAGACTTCTGAGTCGAATTAAAGAAACATCACACATACACACTAACGTCAGCTATAATTATATATAAGTGACAGGACAGACGGGGTCGTATTTAACGCTCACATTGTGTCAGCTACAATTTTAGTAACACTTAAGTAACTGGGGTGAGCTTATTGTCTTCAACCTGGCACTTTAAGTAATAGATGGAAAAGTTGAAAGTATAATAATTGGAGTGGAAGGTAGGTAAGAAGTGGACAGACATAACGCAAACCTATATCATAAAAATAAAAAAAATGGCGTGAGGGATCTATGGAACCCCGGTTGGAACGAAGTTCCTTTCGATTTTTGGTAGACGGTTGTTAAATATATGACATACTAGCAGACCCGGCAAACGTTGTATTGCAAAACAAAAAAAAAAAAAAAAAAAAAAATTAGGGATGGGTCACCCTTACCATTTAGGGGTATGAAAAATAGATGTTGGCCGATTCTCAGACCTACCCGATGTGCACATAAAATTTCATGAGAATCGGTCAAGCCGTTTCGGAGGAGTACGGGAACGAACATTGTGACACGAGAATTTTCTATATAAGATGAAAAAGATATGAGCGTCGACGCGCCAATAGAAGTGTCGGGAAAAAGTCTTGTTACACATTTTTCAGTCTCGCTTCCATCCCTTCAGAGCGTGTAACGCGAGATAAGGAACCACGTTCCAAAATGCCAAGTTCTAAAATTTTGATTTGCCACTTTTTGAAGTATAACTTCTTTACGCAAGCTTGACTTGGGGAGTAAGCTGGTGAATGCGTGACAAGAGCGTTACGAAAATTGTGATCGGTGAGGCGAACGGAAGTTGAGAGGAAGATATAAGTTAGTGAAGATAGAAAGAGAGAGAGTTACGTTTCGTATATTACTGTAGGGGCAACAGAGAGAGTGCGAGCACACATTTTGTTTCTCTCTTTCTTTCCAAAGCGCACTCATATTTTTTTGTTTCTATTGAGCTTTTCAACTGGCTTATGTCTGAAAAATAGCTTTAAGAAACTCAGTCAGGATTTTTTCAAGTTTATTAAATGTCGTTACTGTACTACACATAATCAAATACATAACCATCTAGTCGTTACTAAACAGATATATAGTTTTAAATTTTTAATTTATTCATTCTGGCTTTTGCGGTAAAAATTAGCCTATGTTAATTTCTAATAATGTAGCTTTCTATTGGTAATTTGAATTTTTAAAATCGGTTTTTTTATTGTAAAGCATACAATAAAAAAAAAACCAACTCACTTTCACATTAATTATAATGTAAGTATGGATATAGTTGAACGATATAGTAAACACTCCCCTTCTGATATACAACTTAACAAATGTCTGTACTACAATGGCTGTCTCTCATGTGCACGAGACTCTACCGTTGATAAGGAAAGTTTACGTTTGATTGATGATAGCTTCTTGAACAAAATTTCTCTTCAGCTGCTGTGTACCTTCTATAAATTAGCACCTCTATTCTCGATGATAGATTACTTCCTTTCATTCGCGAACAATAATTGTTAGAACGCACTGGTGTGGATGTCACTGTGGTTAAATAATGTTAGGACTTATATTTTTCGTCTTCAATTTTTTTTTAAGAAACCTCCCGAGCTTGTTATATATGCTGTGTCGCGGGGGACTTTACAAATATACATGAAATGGACACAAAGAACACCCAGACTCAGAACAACAATCTGCGGATCACACAAAGTGTCGTCCCATGAGGGGATCGAACCAAGTTCTTATTATAAATATACCCAATTCTTATTATATTATTAATACACCAATAATTCTTATATTGGAACACCTAAAAAAGTGTAGGTGTTCCAACATCATCAGTCATTTATCATTTTTATTCGTTACAATATTGCTTAAATCAGCTTCAAGTATCGGATAGCCGATCTCCCCTACATTCTTGATTGATAGCTTTTACGGTTATCAGATATGACGTTAACATAATTGTATCATGTTTACTGTGGCTTACAGGAATTAAAAGGGAAGTAAGTACCTAAAATTACTCTATAATAATTACGCTCTGTCTTTCTTGAGTAATAGTTTCGGTAGTAGTAACCTCAGTCACATGGTGAAAAGCACCGACAGAATTATTACTTAACACCAGTTTCCTGTGAGACTATGGTAACACTCCGGTCGATCCGCCTCATTTGTGCCGAATCATGGCTCTTCCGCGTGACATAAAGCACCTTGTGTCCTTTTCTGTAGCCCTAAAATCATGTATTCAAAGTTTCAAGACGATATGAGAAGTAGATAAAGCTTAAAATCGAAAAAATAAACAATAAACTATTAGGTACATATTTAATAAGTCAACAAAGAAAATTATGATTATGAGCAGATCAGCGTTGTACTTGTTTTTCATATTTGAATCATTATTTTTTACTTGCTCAAGAGAAGGATACTGATAAAAAATTAACCAATGCCTGATCAAAATCATTCAATAAAAAGAAAAAGTTCTGTACTGCCTTTATCCAAAAGGATTTTATACATTTTAGGAAAACCGTCGATATATTAAACCGAAAATCGATTATAATTATCGACGAAAAAAGGTTTTCGTGAAATGTTAAAGTTAATCAGGAACTGTCACAGAATCTCATTATACGGTAACGGCGCACTTCAATCACACATCCAGATATCCCATCTCTGGAATATTGCCAATATCCGGCGTATCGTTGCAAATCCAATTGTGATGAAATGCTCAATGTATTATGGAACGACAAATAGGATTTGACGTATCTTATCTGTGTACCCAAGTCCGTATTTAATGTCTGAGATGTTTTAAAAGGTCAACATCACTTTTATAGCTTCTTTTTTATTGTTATTTAATTTATTTATTTTTTAAACTTATAATGTAAATATTGATTGAAATTGTATTAGCTTTCTACACTTCTTGTTATACATACAAACTTTCAGTATTTCAAATTTTGTACTGGTAGATGTGTTTTTTTT